GGATAATATCTCTGGGGAGGACAACCTGGGGGCGGGGCTAGGAGGGTATGGAGACTTCTTAGTCTTACAAGTCTTTGTATGATCTTTTGCTAGTTGGATTGTTTATTTTTAAATTTTTTTAATTTTTATTTATTTATTTATTTTTAAAGATTATTTATTTATTTGACACAGAGAGAGCGAGAGCACAAGCAGGGGGAGTGGCAGGCAGAGGCAGAGGCAGAGGCAGAGGGAGAAGCAGGCTCCCCACAGAGCAGGGGGAGCCCGACGCGGGGCTCGATCCCAGGACCCCGGGACCATGACCTGAGCGGAAGGCAGTCGCTTAACCAACTGAGCCACCCAGGCGCCCCGGTAGTTGGATTGTTTATTAACCACATGTGTATTGTTCAATTATAAACACAAAACCAGCTGATGAAATAAGTTTACTGGGCAATCAACTCATTTTATTCTCATTTAAAATAGTACTCATGTGTGGTTTCCTGAAGACTTCCTGTACCTTATTATTTACCCATTCATTCAACAGATTTAAAAAATCATTTATTTTTGACAAATAAAAATTGTATATATTTAAGGTGTACAATGTAATGTTTTGATATATATGATATGAAATGATTAGCACAATCAAACTGATTAACATATCCATCACCTCCCATAGTTACCTTTTTTTGTGGTAAGAACACTTGAAATCTATAATCTTAATAAATTTCAAGTATACATTTTTGACTATAGTCACCATGCTGTACATAAGTCTCCAGAACTTATTCATGTTACAACAGAAATTTTGTATCCTTTGATCAATATGTTCCCTTTTCCTTTACCCCCAGTCTCTCTCTGGTAACCATCATTCTACTCTCTGTTACTATGAGTTTGACTTAAAAATACATATTTTTCAGATTCCACATATAAATGAGATCATGTGGTATTTGTCTTTCTGTGTCTGGCTTATTTCACTTCAGCATAATGTTCTCTAGATTCATCCATGTCATTACATGTGGCAGAATTTCTTTCTTTTTAAGGGCTGAATAGTATTCCTTTATATATATATATATATATATATATATATATATATATCATTCATCTGTTGATGAACACTTAAGTTGTTCCCATATCTTGGCTACTGTGAATAATGTTGCAATGAACATGGGAGTGCAGATATCTCTTTGAGATAGTATTTTATTTGCTTTGGATATATACACAGAAGTGGGATTTCAGCAGATATTTTTGAGTGCCTATTATGTGCTAGGCACTGAATGATGTATTAGAAATATAATGGTGAACAATATAGGCACAGTCCTTGCCTTTGTGTAACTTACATCCTAGGAGGATAACAGATATGAAATAAGAAATTGCATAAGCAATTTGATATTTCCAATCATGAAAAGTTCAACAAAGGAGGAGTATAGGAGACTTAAGGCAGACTGAGGACTAGATGAAGACTCGCCAGAGAAAGTGATGTTTTGAATGAACTACAAAATGAGTAGGATTAAAGTAGAAGAAAGGGAGAAGGACAAAAGTGCACCTCAGGCACATGGAAGAACATGAATGAAGGCCCTGAAGCAGGAAGGAGCATGGGGTATCAGACAAAATGGAGAGACAATATGGCTGGAGCTTAGAAAGACAAGGGTGAGAGGTGTATGAGCCTAGAAAGTTCAGCCGGGACTTTTAGACCATGTTTAAAATTTTGGAGTGTATTTTCAGAGCAATGGGAAATCGTGCAAGTTTTAGGGAGGGGAGGACATAATTAGATTTGAAATTTTTAAAAAAGATTTTATTCTTAAGTAATCTCTACATTCAATGCAGGACTTGAACTCACAACCCTGAGACCAAGAGTCACATGCTCCACCAACTGAGCCAGCCAGGCACCCCTATATTTGAATTTTTTCCCCCCTATATTTGAATTTTTAAAAGTTTACCTGCAGTGTAGACAGTGGACTGAAGGGAAGCAAGCATAAATGAGGGGTCCAGCTGGGACCTATTGTAGTAGTCCAGATAAGAGATAATGAGGGCAGTCCAGATTGTGAGGTGGATATGTTTCCAATATAACTTTGAGATAGATCTGGCAAGATTTGCTGATGAAATTGGGTTAAGAGTGAAAGAGAATGATATATCAAGGATAATTCTTAAGGTTTTTGACTTGAGTAACTGATTAGAAGGTGGTACCGTTTCTAAGGTAGGGAACACTGGATGAAGAGGTTTGGGAGTGGGGCTGAAATGTTCAGGAGTTTGGTCCTGGACATGTTCAGGAGAGATGTTGAGTAAGGGCTTGGATATCTGGATCTGGAGCTCAAAGGAAAGCCCAGGGATAGAGACCATTAAATAACTGGTTTGTAAAAAAAGATGACACATCAGATCCCACAGTTAAGTAAGCTTCTGAATACAAGGTAAACGTTCAGGGAATCATGGTTTTTCAACTCAGGAAACCATTAAGTACAAAATTAGGATCTCAGTGATTTAACAGGGTAAGTCAATTTGTATCCCTCATCTCATTGTACTGTGACTTATCCAAATAAAATATTTCAGTTCTCAAAAACAGATGTCCTTAGAATAATAGAATAGACAGCAATTAAGCTGCTTTGCTTCATGCTATTTTAATGACATTATCAACCCCTATATTCATCTTTACTTTGCAGAAGATCTATAAAAATACATTTGACAGAAAAGGTATTTTGAGCATTTTCTCCATGCAGAGGCTTTAATTTTTTCTAACGTAATCATATTTTTCATGCTCAGAGAGGGTGTGATAGAGGACAGCTAAAACACAGGGTGGCAATTTTATCTTTCCGAGGGTCCTGCTTTCTAGCTTCAGAATAAAAGGGATTTCCTATTTGGGGCAAAACATATTGGAAAATTAGCACGACAAAGTAATATTACTTGTTTATTTTGTTTTATACCCCACTAGATGTAAACTTCATGAAGTCAGGGGTTTTTGTCTGTTTTACTCATTGCTGTAATTCCAGCATCTAAATCAGTGCCTTGCACATGGTAGGTATTCAATAAATATTTAAGGAAAATTGAATGAAATAATAAGTTGTGTCTTCACATTGTGTCTATTTGTTAGAAAATTTCTGAGTCCATAGAAAGTTAGATATACTCATATTGAAAAAGATATATATATATATATATACACACACATATACACATATCGCCAAAGTAAGATGGAGATACCTTAATTTATCATGTTTTTAACCACCCATCCATAGCTTCTGTTAGAGGAGATTTTGAAGTTCCCTGTGTTTACTTTGGGAAACCTATTAATTTTCATTTCCACTGGTGGTATTAAGAGTCTCATAGATAGGATCTATTTCACTTCTGATAGTACTCAAAACTTTCTTTTCATATCAAGGCAAATGGCAGAGTGATTTACTGAACAATACATTACATTTCTCAGAGGAGTATCTTAAACAAAATATTCATCAGAGGACCATATCACAAGAGAATTGTTCAATACATTCAGATAGTCCATAAAAGAAATTAATGAAACATGTAAAATATTGCTAAAGATTATGGCAAAATGCAGCAAAACAAAACAAAACCCAAACCCAGTAAAATACAATTTTAAAGAATTTTCATGGAACCTCAGCAAAGTAACAAACATGTATTGAGCATCTTCAATATATAAGACACATGATAGTTGTGGGCAGATATAAAGATGAAGACTTAGTCCCTGTATTCATAGTACTTACCATCTATTAGGGGAGTCAGAACTAAACTCAGTTCAGCAAACACTGACTGGCATTCCTATTAAGCTACAGGCTCATATTAGATGCAGGGGGTAAAAAGATAAGTAAGGCCCGGTCCCTGTCATAGAGGGACTTAAAATTTAGGTTGTTATATATCCGGGTGTATATTTTTGTATGTGTGGGGCTGTGTTAACTGTATAGGAACCAACATAATGCAAATAATTTCAGTGCAATATGGGAGGCTATGACAGGGTGTTAGCACTACATAGGGAAATTTAACCCAATATAGGGAGGAGATAAAAGAAGGAGGTGGTAGAACCTGAACTGAATATTAAGGATATGTTAGCTGGAGTATAGGAATATCATTCCATGCTAAAGGAAAAACAGTGTGACTGGGAAACCACAAACAGTTCGGCGGACAGGTGGTGTAAGGGAAGGTCAACTACTGGCACTTTCTCTTTTGGAATTATTTCTCTCCTCAATTATTTTGAAGCTCTTGTAAAATAACGAAAATAACTACAATGAACCCTAAAGCCCCTCATCAAATACAATCACTTTAATATAAAGGCCATTTTACCTTGATCATTTCTGCAGCAGTTTATCAGAAGAATCTTGTATGGACTCCTTGTACACGTATAAAAAACCAGATTCAGAACCAATAAACGCTTATCAAGCAACTACTATGCTTTCATATCTTTTTTCCCTCCTGTAAAGCAAAGCCAATTTTGTAAAAATATACTGCCGGGTGGCTGCGTGGACTAACTAGAACAAATACAGACGCAATTTAGGTTTCATTGTGGCGAAACTAAGGTGAGAGTTTTTTCATGGGTTTTCATTGGGGAGATATGGAGACGAAAAAGATACGGGATATAGTTTGAAAGAATTGGTGCGAACAATTATGCCTCGGGGGGCGAAAAAGAAAGTGCACACACACTGGGGGAAACAAGTTACCAGGCTGGAATGAAAATTTCCTTTGTTCACAGACCAATCCCCTTTCGGTTTCATTCCGCCCTTCATCTATCCCAACAATTCTTGCTTCATCATTGTCAAGGGGCACCCAGGTTTTCCCATTCATCCTAGCTAGCAGAGCAAAAATCTGCAACTCATTACTACCCCAAACCTCCAGGCTAAACGCGCTACTGCACTCAGCCTGGAAAATAAACTGAGCTTTTAACATTCGCATAAACATTTAAAATAAAATGCTGTAGCCGCCTACCTGGACCGGCCACCAAGAACTACAATATCCAGAATGCACTGTTTTTCCTTCCGCCTTCTACCAGGGCAACGCCTGACTAGATCTCATTTCCACAAGCAATAGTCACATGACACGTTTCCTTTCAAGATGGCGGATAATCTCCCTTCGGAGTTTGATGTGATCGTAATAGGGACGGGTATGTGTGGCTCTGGTACTCCCCGAACAAAGTGTAGGAAATCTATCTCGTTCCTACCTTCTCTATCAGTGGTGAGGGTTGGCGAGAAATGCCGGGGGTTGAGGATGGGAGGGAGAACGGGAAGGAAGTGAGGTAGTGTGGAGTCAGCGCGGGACTTGGCAGCTCCAGGGAGGGGCTTGGACCCACGGTACTTAGCGCCATTTGAGTAGGGGTCGATCTGGTCGATGCCGATTACTGAGGTTGGTTGCTGCGGGTGATTCTGTAATTTCCTTAGAGGGAGGTGGGTTTGTAGTGTCATGAGAACGGAGGGTCGGGATTTTATCGAAGGAAACTCCTTTGGCATGACATGATTCCTTGTTGATTTCGAGGTGATATTCCCCATCATTGTCTCGCCCTTTCTTAGGAATTTTTCATATATTTATGTAGTCCTAGGGTGTGTGTGCAGCTCGGATACAGTTTAGTCCTCAGGTTTTCGAGAAAGGTGCTCAGTTGTTGCCCGTGTGCGTATTAATTTACTAGGACAAGGACACGGATTCTTTTCTATTGTGTTGACAAACCTAGGGAATTGTATTTTGTTGAGTTAGCCATTCCTGCTTTATGATGCTGAAAGATAGAGTTTTGCTTTCTGTCACCCACCTATCAACTCACAACTAAATGAGCTGAGAAGCTTCTGTGAATTCCATTTCAGGTGTGGGACCTTATCTTCCCCTCGTTTACCCATCATTTATTCTCCGTGTTTTGGGTGGAGTCAGAAAAATCCCCTGCAATTTCTAGTTGACAAATTCAACGTACAACACGTGGCAGAAGACATTTGGCAGCAGTTGGTATTTTGTTTTTCTTAATAGTGTAAAGGGCAGATTTTAGATGGCGTGAAGTAGGTTGTTGAGAGGGCTTTTCTCCTGTTTGCAGAATGTGGTAGGTCGGAGAAGCTCTGGTGAATGAGAACCTGTCCATTGTGTTAACGAATGGAGTTTGTTGTCTTCTCAAACAGTGGGGGCAGCCATGTTTCCAGGGCCGGAGTAAAAATAATAGCTACCTGGTTTTGAATGCTTATTATTTGCTAATTGATGTGCTAAGCACTTTAGAAGCTGTTTGTAATCCTCACAACAACCTCCTTAGAGTAGGTATTCTCTACACTTTGCAGACGAGGAAAAGGGGCCTTAGAAAGATTGCTGTGTACTCAAGATCACACAGCTGGTAAATTTCCAAAGGCCCATTCCATCTCAGAAGGAGAATCAGTGCTTCAGACCTTCAGAGTTAACCCATATTAGTAGAAATAATTGAGAAAGGTTGTTTCTAGGCCTTGCTTGGCCTTCAAATAGCTGTTTGAATTGCTAGGGCACTTATTCTCTCTGAGCCTCAGTCTTGTTTTTAAACAGAAAGGGTAAGCTAGTCTTTCAGGTATTGTCTAACCAAAAATTCTCTTATTCTAGTTGCATGTGGGTAATTGGTCTCAGGACAACAAAGACATGTTTATTCCCATTCTGAAAACTGCATGGCTGCAGATAACTTGGCTGTAGCTGCTTGAACAGATGTTGGATGTTCTCTCCAGTCTATCCTAAAACGGAGAACAACATCCATTTTTGAATAGTTGTTATACCATACTTGGATTCTATATTATTGCCTTTTTTGTTACCTAGGAACTTGGGGTGTTTTTTTTTTTTTAATTTTTTGAATTATTATAAGATTCTTCTTACCTGGATTCAAATTTTAATTGATAAGAGTGCTAATTCCTATTACTAAATGCCGTTAATTCTTAGTTGCTTTCTGGTTCAGTTCATAGTATGGACTGTATTCATCCTGTTAGAGTCCGTTATGGTAGAGGTAGGAAGATACTGTGAGTGATACAGAAAATTGCATTAGGTGGCATCTGGTGTATTTAGAAAAAGATTCGGGCGCCTGGGTGGCTCAGTTGGTTAAGCGACTGCCTTCGGCTCAGGTCATGATCCCGGAGTCCCGGGATCGAGTCCCGCATCGGGCTCCCTGCTCGGCAGGGAGTCTGCTTCTCCCTCTGACCCTCCTCCCTCTCATGCTCTCTGTCTCTCATTCTCTCTCTCTCAAATAAATAAATAAAATCTTTAAAAAAAAAAAAAAAAAACAAAAAGAAAAAGATTCATTTTAGACTTATTCCAGTGAGGGTAGTATTATTTCTCAAAGTATGGGAAGAACTTACTTGAAGTTAATTGTAAGTTATGTTTTTCATATCACTTAATGGTGAACATACTCTGAGTTTATCAAGCACGTTGCATAAATTTATGTTATGAAGCTTTGTGTTTAGGTATGTTAAAACGGAAAAATTGGATAAGTCATTTCCCAAATGATTCTAATAATTCTAGTCGTTACTTAATTGGAATTATTGTTAATGTGTTTGGAATATTTTTCTTCTGAAATAGTTTGCTGAAAGTAGTCTTAAAAATGTTTGCATTGGGGACACCTGGATGGCTCAGTCGGTTAAACGTCTAACTCTTGATCTCAGCTCAGGTCTTGATCTCAGGGTCGTTGAGTTCAAGCCCCACAGTTGGGCTCCACATTGGGCATGGAGCCTACTTAAAAATATATGTATATATATGTTTGCATTACTAAATACTGGCTTGAGTAAATCTTAGGAAAAGCAGCATTTCTTATATTCAGTTTTACTGACAAAAGCAGAATTAATCATGCATGTATCAGAAACATGAAGAAATAGGCTATGAAATGTAATTTTTCTTTTAGTAGATTTAGCTCTATGTCAAGAGACAATTGCTTCAAGTAAAAACATCTGTAGATAATATTTAAATCCCTTTGTCCTTGATTAATTAGTTTTTTTTTTTTTTTTTTTTACTTTTCATATCACAAGATTTTCCTTAGGGTCATGTTTTGAAGAGATTATGGGAAGATAAAGTTTTGTATGTTTTTTCTTAGTTATGTCCGTTTCTTTCTGATTACAAAATACAGGAAATATCTGTCAAACACCTAAAGGCAGAGGGATAAAATCAAGTATTTGAGCTGTGAAAAATATAGAAGAAAATGGAATAAGGAAGGGGGGCCATCTGGAGTCTTAAAGGAGAGGACAAAACTGGATGTAAGTGATGTTCTAGGAAGTGGCTTTCAGTTTGGGTACACAGTTGTCATTTTCAAGACATTTTGCCATTTAAAAAGACATTGGAATGATGGGTTGTAGAGAAGTATCATTGGTTTCAGGATAAAAATAGTCTCAATAACATAACACCTCATTGGAAGTGACATCTGTGTAATCTGCAATCTGCATCAGAGACAACAGTTCAACAGAAGAGCAGGCAAAATGGAAGTTAGGAGAGCTGTGATAACATCGGCATAGTTCTTACATAGTGGAATCCTTCAGGTCCTCACTTAGAGCATATTCTTATTTTAGAAATAATTCCAGCATGCTCAGAGCATATTAGAAACATCCTTGGGGCGCCCAGGTGGCTCAGATGGTTAGGCATCTGCCTTCAGCTCAGGTCATGAGCCCAGGGTCCTGGGATCGAGTCCCGCATCGGGCTCCCTGCTCCGTGGGGAGCCTGCTTCTCCCTCTGCCTCTGCCTTTCTCTCTCTCTCTCTCTGACTTTCATGAATAAATAAATAAAACATTAAAAAAAAAAAAAGAAACATCCTTAACTTCTGTAAAAGCTGTGTTTGGGGATGTCATTAGATATAAGTGATAGTTGATATCCTAATGGGAAAGGGAAGAGGCAAATACCCTAAAGTGCAAGCCTACGTCAAACAGTAAAATGGCCTGGGACCAGTTTGTATAGTGACAAATTTTTCAGAGTATTCAACCCACATTTACTGAGAACCTAGTCCCTGCGTTTGTGAAGTTTACTGTATTGCCTGTTTTCAGAGACTGGGGTTCCTGATAGTCACATCCACAGAACTGTTCTTAAGCCAACGTAGGCTTTTCGTTGCATCCTTCTTGCTTTCTGAAGACCACATAGGGATTCAGTCTGCATTCCTTTCCTTTCTGAAGTACACCACACAATTATATTTTGGGAGTTCTTTCCCTAAGATGGGCTATGGAGTGGGCTAGCTTAAAATTTTTCCTGCAGAAGATAAACACATAGATCCTTTTTGATTAAAGAGTTTTATTGCTAAAGATTATGGAGAAAGAAATGAGGTAACCAAAATAACAAACATGGGAGAAGTTACAAAGAGTATTGCTCCTAAATTGTGACTACTTTCCTAGATAGTGCTTGACATAGTACAGTAATAGATGTGGCAGAATAGTGTAATGGGAATCACTTGACCTTTCTACTTTGGGCAGATTGCATCACCTCTTGGGACGCCACGTTGTTCATCTGTAAAGTGGGAGATTTGAATTAGGTGACCTGTCTACCAGCTGACCATTGTGTCTGTGTAAGTATGACCCTGGGTCCTTGAAAAGGCTAAATTCTGTATAGTCCTTTTAAGGAGTCAGGTCAGTGTTTAATATACTTTAGAAATTTGGGTATCAAAATGGCTCAGAAAAATTTTCTTGCAAACAGTAAGCTGCCTTTATCAGGAAGGTCACGGAGGTGGCATGCTTCCATTCTTTGATGTTGGTTGAGAATCATAATGTCAGCTTTGGCTGGAAGCTCATTGACTATAATGCTTACGATGTTGGTGGTATAACTTCGCTTCTCTAAACGTTGGGGAATAGTAGTACTGCGGGAGGTTTTGTGAAAACATATTTACCAAATACCTTATATGTGATTTCCTACATATATATCTTACTTACTCTTCTCCCAGGATGTCTGTGTATGTTTCTAACATGACAGGATGCCCATACTTCCTCTGTCTGTATTTCCAAACATACATACACCTATTGTCCAGAGTTGAGTTATGATTTTTTTCTGTGACAAGATGCCACCTATTTATGGGTCATGAAATCAATTCCAGCATTAAAAAAAGAGGCAGAGTAGAATATATCAGAATATATTACATGTAGTAAGGATGAATATAGTTTTATGAAACAAATATTTCATGTGTGTATAATCACTGTGTAAAATATATCCATATATATGTAG